CAAAAAGCACGAGTATCAACTAAAACCACGGTGCATAGATGCATGCACGTCACAAAAGATGCGATATACATATAAAGTATATATCAGGCTTCTTGGAGGTCAGCGCGAGGCGTTTGCGCCTGACCAGCGAGTTAAGCAGGGACGATTTCCCCACATTGGACCGTCCCACAAGAGCAAATTCCGGGAGCCCATTCGAGGGGCAGTCCTCAGTTGTCACACTGCTCTTCAAAAACTCCGCATTCACCACTTCAGCACCACCTCCAGCATACTTGCTCAGCACAATATTCGAGCCTTTCAAGATTCTTGCACTCAAAATCCCATTCTCCGGCTCCGAAACCTCCGTTTCCGGCGGCACAAACAGCTTTTCAAGAGACAATTGTATCTTTTCTTGGTGTGGTGATTGACTCGTACTTGTTGAGAAGTGAGATAGGGATGCGGGCCCGGTTCTGGATTTGGGTATGGATACTGGGTTTGTATTGGATAACAGAGTAGAGGTGATTAGAATAAGTCTTATGGGTATATGCAAAAAATGAAGTCTAGGAAGTTGATGGATTATAAACATTTCTCAAAAAATTTCTTCTCCTGTATGTTTGAAGTTGTAGCCTCTGTGAGGAACGATGGACCGATGGTGACGTGAAAAGATGGGGATAGATGAATTGGAGTTAATTGTTCCAATGTTCACTGAACTAAGGTTTATATTTTTTATTGGTCATTGAAGTTTAAAATGTTGAATTTTAATCACTAAACTTTGGTTAATGTCTTTGATCTCTCACTGAACTTATGTCCATATCTTTAATTGTTCATTGAAATTTAAAATATCGAGTTTTGGTCACTAAACTTTGAAATACGTGATATGTCGTACGTTACTAACTAGCATAATTGTTGAACTTTAAAAAATATTGATTTACAGTGAGCAATGTAAATCATTTTTCAAAGTTCAGTGAGTGATGTACAATATTTTTCAAAATTTATTGGTCAAAACTTGACATTTTAAATTTCAGTGAGTAATAGAAAATATGAACTAAGTTCAGTAACCATAACTCGACATTTTAAACTTCAATGACCAATTAAAGACATGAACCTAAGTTCAGTGACCATTAAAACAATTAACTCAATGAATTGATCGGGGGAAAAATAAGAACGAGACTCCTAAACTATCATCATGTATCAAATATTACCTTTTAAATATGAAAATCTACAATATTAATCCTCTAAGTTATGGTCTCAAAATTTCCATATGGGTTAAGTAGGGTTTTCTTTTAACCCCTATTTGATGTCCAATCAAAAAGAACTTTTTGGGAAAATAAGGCCCTGTTCTCTTTACCGTTTTCGGGTCGTTTTCTGTTTTCGATTTTTAAAAATGGTGAAAACGCGTTCTCTTTCCCGTTTTCGAAAACGAATTTTCGAAAACGAAAAAAAATTTGTGAAGAAAACACAAAACGACTTTTTTGTCGTTTTGGGCGTTTTCAGTGTAAAACTTGAAAAAATTGAAAACGCGGGAAACACTTCTTTTTTTTTTTTGTGTTTTGAGGTGGTGTTGTGGTGATTCTCAAAATTTAAAAAAAAAAAATTTTTTTGTTTTTTGTTTTGAGAAATTAACAAAAAGAACGCATTTTCAACAATTTCAAAACAAACACTCAAAACACAAAACTCAAAATGAATTCAAAACTCAAAACACAAAACTGAAACACAAAGAGAACACCCCCTAAGTTTTTGAATGGTAACTTTTTGAAGAAAAATATGATTAGAAAGTAGAGAATATTATGAATTTATTTGCAAAATATTTTATTGTAAGAATGTTTGATTGAAAATGAGTTTTAGAAAAATAAAAGGAATTTTGGAGGACAATAGACAAATAAGGGCTGAAACAAAAAATGATAGTCTAATCTGACATTTGTCATAATCTAAGCTAGACGTTGTTGTCCTATTATGAGTATGGATGTTAAATCTTGTTCACGTTGAGTAAAAAGATTGATTTGTGCTAAAATATTAGAATTTTTTTTATAGTTTATAATTGTTCTTATTTTATCTCCTATTAGAGTTAGAAAACCTAAAATATGCATTATGTTGTTATTCAAATACACTAAATCTCCGTATTTATTATTTTATTTTATTTATCTTTGCTCGCGTTCTCTTGATTTTGTTATAGTTAATCTAAAACTTTTAATCAATTTTGATTGAGTTATTATTAATTACTATATTAACTTATTTGACTTGTTAGTTACCATTTTTGACTAGTTTAAAATAGTTCTTTTAAGATAAGAATTTACATAATTTTGAATAAAAATAAGACTTCTTAAAATGAACAAGACAGAAAAAGAAAACGATAAAAAAAATTATAAAATGGAAACAAGAAGAAGAAGAAGAAGTTAGAAGTAAGGTGGTTTTAGTCATTTTGAAAAGTTGGAGTGGAATGTAATATTTTATAAAACAAGAGGGCCAGACGGTGTAATTAATCAAATCCTTATGGACTTTTTACAGAATACACACAATACTCGAGGGGGTGGGATTTTTAGGGTGCTTTTTTAATGAGATGTTTGTGACCCACCTCATGTGAGAACTCTGTAAAAACCCTGGTAGAAC